GTGTCTCTTTGTTTCGGTTGCTGTCTCTATCACTCTTCAGAAGCTTTTTAGTTTGATGTCGTTCCAGCTGTTTTTTTTTTGAAGTGGATTTTCACCAATTTTTAAAATTGTGTGGGTAATTTGTTTTAAAACATGATGTGGAATAATCCAAAGCACAGTGTTATTTCACGTTACAATTGAGTTCTGTCAAATAGCATTGCTAAATTCTCAAAGGCCTTCAGTAGGGACTTTTCTTTAACGAACTTAAATTTTTGTTGTTTACTTCACATTTCAGAATTCATTAATCTTATCCCTAGAGGGTTTTTTTTTTCTTGGTATGTCATGGCATTAAGAAATGGAGAGTAAGGACTTGTCTTCTCCATGAATTTTATAAGCCACAAGTTCGTCCCTTCCCACCTGAGCTGGAAGTGTGAGTTATTTCTAAGGGCTAACCATGGTCATTTCATCCCTGACTTCCTTTCTGTGTGGAGAACATCAACTCAGGTCATGTAGGAATTTTCACAGATGCAGATAAAGAGTTGCACTATAAGAGGTTTCCCCTCCTCCCAAATAAGTGTGTAGAAATACATTTTCCCTAGCAAATGATATTTCATTTTATCAGCTAATTTGATTATAAATGCACCTGGAAAGTTATTTTTAAAAAATCCTGAAGCTAATACTTTCAATTTTTATCCCTTTTTGTTTGCATTTGCTCAACAACTAGTGTTTTGTCAAGCACAAGTGTAGCTGTTGGATATAACTTTGAACAAAATGAATAATGTTCCTGTTTTTCTGGAGCTTTGATTTTCAAGCAAGCAAAAGGTTTTTTTTTTTTAATGAGAGAACTAACTGCAGAGCATTATGGTAGAGAATGGGCCAGTTAGAGGTATATCTGGGGGCAACTAGAGATGGACTCACTGGGAAGGCCTTTTGGGCTGAGGTGGAGGGGGTATGTTTCTGAGTTAAAATGTGAATAACACAGAGGAGCCAGTCATGAAAATGTAGGGCAGTAAGCAGTCTAGTAACAGAATAGCAAGTGCAAAAGCACTGAGGTCGAAATAGCTCAGGGAGTCCAAGGAATAGAAGGACCACTGTGGCTGAGAAGAGTGTAGAATGCCCTCAGAGTGGTTAGCAGGGCTCTGTGTGCCATGGTGAGCTATAGGGTTTCATCCTAAATACCTTGGGAAGCTGCGGGATATTTTTAAGTCAGGAAGCAACTTGATCTGATTTGTTTATAAAGATTCTCTGCTGCCAAGGATCTGCTGTAAAATAGTGTGGGGAAAGGGGAGATGTGGTCAGGTGTAGGCAAAGTAAGACTGGTCACAATTCGATAAGTGTTGAAGCTGGGTGATGGAGAACTAGGGATGTTATATTCTCATTTGTTGTATGTTTGAAAATTTCTGTAATAAAAGCTTACAAGAGAACTCTTTAAACAGCAAAAGAAATAATCTGGAAAAAGAATTCTTACAACCTCAAACAAACAAGGTAAAGCAATAACATCAAATCACTTCTGGCTGCTCTTTGGAGAGGGGTAGAAAGGGAAGAAACAACTAGTTTGAGGGGTTTTCCAGTAGTTCAGAGAAGACACTGCAGGGTTTGGCCTGGCGGTGGCAGGAGATAAGTTGTTTCAGAATGTTTTGGAGGTGGAACTGATTGCACTTGCTGATGGACTAGATAATGGGAGGCAGGGGGTCGGTACAAACTACTGTGAGACAAGTCACTGTCTCCAAATGTGCCTTTTGCCAAATGTGCCTTTTGCCACTTGGGACTGTCATCTATCGAGCTGCCTTAAATGGCTTGGTCAGCTAGTGAGAGTGTATTAATCGTGTTTTTTCTGTGTGCTTTGACGTGGAGTTTAGCTGACCCTGGAGCACTGCCCCTCCCAGGGTGAGCCGAGTCCTAGAGATAGTAAACAACTTGCCCTTGAGCACATGTTTCAAATACAAACCAACCAATCCAGACCCCACACCCTCACCACCTCCTTTATTGATCCCATACTCTAGGCCTATTCCTCTGTCCTCATCTTCCTGAGGCCTGATACCAGAACACTGGAGACAGCCCTTATACCCCAGAGTCTGCTGAAGTTATTCAGACTTACCAGTCCTAAGCCTCTTTACCTTGACTTGTCCATTCCTTCCTGTGGAAAGAGCAACAAAGTTCTTGCCCACAGCTCTCCCTCTCCCTCTGCCTCCTGACTGCCCCCGGTGCTTCCGCACATGGCCCTGCATGGCGCTGCCCTGCATGGCGCGGCTTCCCCTCCTCTTGGAAACTTTAACACAGATGATTTTTCCAAGGCAACTGTCTCCAGATCTGCTGGCCTCACCACACCCGAATGGTAATACAATTACATTTTAAAACAGAAGGCATTTGTTTGGTGGAATGAAGGGGCATCAGGAAGACCTCACCAAAATGGACAACCTGTACTGGCAGCCTAAAGTCCATTAGTTTGCCATCCTACCCACAGTTCTGTCCACAGTAGATTTGGGTCTGTCACCAATCTCTTGCTTTAAGAACAGGTATCCCAGATTGGGTAGCATTGTCAGTCCCTTGGGATGTTTTGACACAAATCCATTAAGATTGTTCTCTTGTCAGTATCCGATGATAAATCGAGTTGAAAAAAGGGAAATTTGATGAAAGGAGATAGAGCAAAAGAATCATTGAACAAATGGAGCACTTGGTGTCGATAGGCCTGGGAGGATACTGAGCAAAGGGTGTGGGGGAGCCACTAGGCCCATGTCAGGGTACTGCTACCTGACAGGGCCTTACAGAGAAAGACCAAGAAGCAGGGAGCAGTGAGCCAGGGGAAGCAGGAAGGTACCTAGAAGTCCTACTAGGTGCTCTTAAACAGTGCCACTACATCACAGAATCCTGGGGACATTGTAGCTATGTGGAGGTGCTCCTGAAGTTTGTAATGCAATTTGTTCTTCCAAGAAGGTTTGAGAAGTGGGAAGATGTCAGTAAGCTATGGGAGCATTCTCTCCTCCAGGCTGTGACTAACTTCTGTGGCAGGGACTCTCATGCTCACCTGGCCAAAGCTATTGCTGGGAGAGAAGGCCCAGCAGGGGTTGTCTCCCTCATGCCCCACGCCCAGTTTCTGCATCACTGGAGGCCATGTGTCTCTCTCACCAGTGGACTGAGTGCAAACTGTGTGTGTCATTATTGACCAAGAGGCGATGTGTCTATGTCTCTTCCCATGTTCTCTTGACTATATGTGGTGAACTGGGAGGTCAGATATTGAAGACAGAAGTGTAACAATGCAGAAGGGTTACTTTGTGGTGGACAACTCTGGAATATTCATAATGAGCTTTGCATGAATGAGAAGTAAACTTTTACTGCATTATTTTAAGCTTCTGAGATTTTGTGGTTATTTGTAACAGCAGTTGGCCTGTTCTGACTAATATAACCACCTGCTCCAAATGCACAGAAATCTCATGGATAATTGAAATAATAAATAATCCCCAAATGATAGTTTAACCACTAATTAGAAGCAAGGTCTGATGAAGTCTTATGTGGAATCAGTCAGAGAAAAGCAAAAGACTCTGCCCACTCTATGATAAGGGTTATTAATGCGCATCAAAGTGACCAACAGACTGAGAACAAGAAGGAGGAGAAATGAAAAGCTTTAAAAACTGCACACATTGAATAACCAAACCCTGGGAAGATCACTTAGTGGATATATAGAGGGAACTGAGAATAAAAAGCAAAATTATATGCAGTGGCTGCTGAATCAGGCATTCATTTATTCAGGGAATATTTAGTGAACAGCTACTATATGCCAGGCACTGTACCTGCCACTGAGCATATACTGGAAAATGTTAGACCCAGTACTGTCATGAAGGAGATTATAATCTGGTTGAGACTAAGATGAATAAGTAAAATAATATGTGAGGGCCTCCCCAGTGGCGCAGCGGTTGAGCGCTGGGTTGCAAAGCTGCCCGCGGCCTCTGCGGCGCCGGTTCGATCCCCGGCTGCTCCCCTGCCACCGGAGGAGGGTCCCACATGGCGCGCAGACCTCTCCTGCCGCCCGCTGCTCCCCTCAGCAGTGTACTTCGGTCCTTCTGCCTGCTCTGCTCCCCGCTCTGGCTCTGGTGAATTCTCTCACCCTCCCGCGCTTCTGACTGTACCCAGTGCGTGTATAAACAAACAAACAAACAAATAAATAATACATGCCTCTTTAAAAAAAAAAAAATATGTGAAACTACTGGTCAAAAGAGTGATATAACCTCAATATGCTTTGGGGCCTGTGAAGGAGTCATAAAAAGAATTGAGACAGAACAAGTGAGGGGTCAGTAAAGAAGGGAGGAGGAAGGGACAGTTATCCCCCAGGGCCCAAGGGAAGAGAAGGCGTGGGCCCTAGACAGAGGCACAGTGGGGGTTAGGAATGAGAGAAGCAGTGGGTGAAAAGGGGGAGCATGAAGCAGTTCAGACAGAGGGGACAACGCATGCAAAGGTCCTGAGGCTATAAGGACTATATATGTTTGAACAGTTGAGTAAAGACCAGTGTGAGGCAGGGTGGGAGTGAGGGGAAGTGGCGTGAAATGAGGTAGAAAGACAGAGGCTGGATTGCACAAGGCCTGGGTCATGATGAGAATTTTGACTTTTTTTCCATGTCAGTCTCTTGGTGTTTCTTGGTGTTTGTTTTTTAAAAGTCACTGCTTCTGGGCCTCCCTGGTGGTGCAAGGGGTTAAGCACCACACTATGAAGCAATCTGAAGCCTCTGTATCACGAGTTCAATCCCCAGCCAGGGAGAAACTCACATGGCACAGCAGACCTCTCCTGTCTTGCCCCATGCTCCCCTCAGCAGTGTATTTCACTCAGCCTGACTGTTCTGTTCCCCACTCTGTCTCCGGTGAATCCTCTCACCCCCTGCAGCTCCGGCCTCTACCCCAGCTCATGTATGCATAAATAAATAAATCTTTAAAAAAGAGAAAAAAGAAATTCCATATTAAAAAAAAAAAGCAAAATAAAAGTCACTGCTTCTGCCTTCGTCCAAACACTGGAAGTTTGACAGACAACTTCTTTCCAGTCTGGTGTTGAGTGGGGCAGTCACTTTCTTCACCTCCTCCAATTTCCAACAGAAGGAAGCTGGCACCAGACACAGGACTGGGATTCTTGACACACCAAAAGCAGGAGTGAATTTGTCAGGTAACTGGACCTGGTCATCGCTGCCAGAGCTTTCCATCTACTCAAGGAATCAAGTCTGCAAGCCGCTGACAGGAACCTTCATATCTGTGCTTTTGGGATCAGTTAAAACACACATGCCACCACTGTCTTCCCAGAGCACCGGAATAAAGCAGAATAAAGCAGTATCGTTGGGAGTAACCAACTGTGGGAAACAGTGAATTAATTCCCGGACACATTAGGGAGCCTTGGGCATGGTGCCAGATAAGCAGGTCCTGCCAGGGGTGACAGAGGTGACCCCCAGGGATGACTGTGCCTCAGCCTGCCAGGACTTTCTTCCTGAGCCCCGCTGGCAGCAGCAAAGCTGTGCCCTTAGGAGCCCTCACACAGTAGCCCAAAATGTTGGTTGTCATGCAAGCCACACTGCCTCTGACAGGCGGCTGTGCTGGCCACTGGCAGGTGTGGAGGGCTCCATCCTGTGGCTCTTAGCTCAAGCCATGCCATTTTTTCCTCTGCACCCAATTAACTTCTCAAAGACCCATCCTGAAGGACTAGATTTGTCAAGAGAACTGACAAGCCGGAGGATTTGTAGAGCTGGTTGCCACAGAGCCAAGGCGGTAATCCAAAGAGCTGTTTCCTGGTGGGTCATTTGCATACTTTGCCTGACTTCAGCAGAAATCTGCAGCAGAGAGCCCCGAGCTGGAGAGCACCTGCAATGGAAGAATTCAGAATCACAAGTAATGGGTCTAAATTGGCAGGCTTTCATGAAAGTCCCACCAATCTTCAAGTATACAGCTGCCATGGGTCACATAAAATGTACGTAGCTTTAATATACAGTTTCATTTGCTTGAATATCAGCCTGGGTGCAGATAATCAAAGAATGGCTCGGGGTGGAGAATTTAATATGAGAATCCAGTCGGGGCTGCCAAGCCATATATGTGCTAATGTTGCAATTTCAACCCTGGACTTAAGGTCAAGATTAATTTAGTGAAAAATATTATTTCACGATGTCGTAGACATCTTCTGAGTAAGAGCACAGGATGCAGAAGCATAGACAAGGCATGGGCTATGTTTTACCAAATGGGGAATTCTTGAAAAAAGAATTGCAATGGAGAGTAATATTTTTCTTTGCCTCAATTAATCAACTCTGCTGTTGTTGCACAAAAGAAGTCATAGACGGTATGCAAATGAGTGGCACTGTGTTCTAATAGAGCTTTATTTGTGGACACCAGCATTTCAATTTCATATAATTTTCACATGTCAGGAAATCTTTTTATTTTTCTATCATTTAAAAATGTAAATATCATCCTTAGCTCATAAGAAGTGTAAAAATAGGTGTCAGGCTAGATTTGATCCCTAGGTGATAATTTTCTGATCCCTGAAATGGTGTGAGGATTTCCTGTATCTTTCACCCAGTTTTAACAAAAATCAACTTCTGGGTGATTTTATTACCTCTATTCCCTGATCCCTTCTCCTTTCCCTGGATTCTTGAAAGCAACCCCTGATTAACAAATTACTCCATTCTTATTAGTATTTCAGTATTTATCTCTAAAAGAGAACTCTAATTTTGATACAAAACTACAAAACTAGTTTTTGATACAAAACTACCATTATCATATCTAGAAACATTAACAGTAATTCCTTAATATCATGAAATATCCAATTTTTCTGTCTCATAAATGCTCATTACATATTTTGAAGCCCCCCCTCCCTAGTTTGTTTGACTCAGGATCTAAGATCCTGTATCCCATTTGCTTGATAGTTTCTTAAGTCTCTCAATCTCTGAGACTGCTTTCTAGCTCTATTTTGTTTTTCTTTACAAATTATTTGTTGAAGAAATTGTGTGTTTTCCACAGGGGGTTGCCCATAGTCTGAGTTTTTGCTGATTTCATCCCTGTGCTATAGTTGAACATGTTCCTTTGTTCTCTAATTTTTTCTACAATACAATGGTATTATCTGCCAATTGAAAGTTAGAACCATCTTTTTTGATTGCTGAATAATATGCCATTGTGTATATATGCCACATCTTCTTGATCCAGTCATCTATTTTTGGGCATTTGGGTTGTTCGCAGCAACGTGGATGGAACTAGAAGGAATTATGCTCCGCGAAATAAGCCAGAAGGAAAAAGAAAAATATCGGATGGTTTCACTTATAGCAAAAATATGGGGGAACCAGGTAAGACATCAGTGTAAAAAAATAATAACAGTACAAAACACAACAAAGCAGAATGGACAATTATAAATCAGAGACACACTGCAGGGAAGGAGGCGGGAGAGGGATCAGAGGGAGGGAGGGAGGAGCATAGGGGACTAAGCTGATGGTGCATGGGTGCATTGGTGAAGGAAACTCCATGGGAACGATACCTGAGGGGGTGGGGGAAGCAAATAGTGTTTAAAAATGAGCAGTGATGAACTTTTGTAAGCTACTGATCTGGGTTATAAACCACAATGAGGTAAAAAAAAAAAAAGTATCATATCAAATGAAAAAAAAAAAAAAAGAAAACAAAAACAAAAAAAGAAAGCTAGAACCAAAGGCCTGATGAGGTTCAAATTTTCTACTGATTTTCTTTAACGTTTTTGTATGATTACTCTGGATAGGAGTGTTTCTTCCATAAGGAGACACGTAACTTGTGGCTGTTTCCCCTTTTGCATGCTAGCTGCCACTGATGATTACTGCCTAGATCAATTCCTTGAAGAAAGTAGACCTTTTTTTGGAGCAGACTTATAGAAAATTTGAGCAGAGAGTGCCAGAAACCCCCTTACCATATCCCACAGTTTCCCCTATTGTTAACATCTGCCTTAGTGTCGTACACTTGTTATTATTGATCAACAATATCTATACATTCCCATTTAGTCCATAGTTCACACTAAGGCTCACTCTTGATGTTGTACTAGGCTGTGGTTTTGACAAATATATATAGACATGCATCCACTTTTGCAGTAGTGTACAGAATAATTTCACTGCCATCAAAAACTCTGGGTTCCACCTGTTCATCCCTCCTCTTCCCTAGCCCCCTGGCAGCTATGATCTTTTAACTGTTTCCTTAGTTGTACCTTTTCTAGAATGTCATATAATTGGAATATTATAGTATGTAACCTTTTTATATTGGCTTCTTTTATATATCATTATGTATTTAAGTTTCTTCCATTTTTTTGTGTGACTTGAGAGCTGTTTTCTTTTTATTGTTGAATAACATCCCATTGTATGGATGCACCATAGTTTGTTTATCCACCTACCTACTGAGAGACAACGTGGCTGGTTCCAGTTTTCAGTTGTTATAAATAAAACTAGTATAAACATTTATACGCAGGTTTTGTGTGGATGTAAGTTGGGTGACTACCAAGGAGCACAATTGCTTGATCATATGGTAAAAATATGTTTAACTTTTAAGAAACTGCCAAGCCAGTTTCCAAAGTGGTTGTACCATTTTGTACTCTTACCCACAGTAAACTGGGTGGGATTCCTGTTGTTCCACATCTTTGTCAATGCTTGATATTGTTGGTTTTGGAGATTTTGGTGTGTAAAGGAATCCATTGTTGCTTCAATTTTTATTTTTCTGATTACATGATGCTGATCATCTTTTTATATCTTTGTTTTGCCATCAGTCTACCTTCTTTGATCTGGTGTCTATTCAGATCTTTTGTCCATTTTTAAGTTTGTTTTCAAATTGTTGAGCTCTTAAGAGTTCTTTATGTATTTTAGATATAAGTCCTTCATCAGATATGTGTTTTGCAAATATCTCTTCCCAATTTGTGTTATGTGAAGTGTGTTCTCTTAATAATGTCTATTGCAGAGCAGAAGTTTTTAACTTAATAAAGCTCCCAGTTTATTGATATTTTTTTCTTTCTTGGATCATGCTTTGGGTGTTGTCTCTAAAAACTCATTATCAAACTTAGAATAATTTAGGTTTTTTCCTTTGTTATCTTCTAGTAGTTTTATAGTTTTGCACTTTACATTTAGATATATTCAATTTAGAACCATGAGATTTTGATTTACTCACTTTGGTTTAGTCAATTGTTTTTCTTCCATACTGAAATCATTTTATTCCGCAACACCTAAAACAGTCTCAGAATAACAATACCAATGTTACCACCAACACAAGATTTACTGAAAACAGTATACATTTTCTTTTTTCTTTTCCAGTCCTTGTCCTTAGGGTATATCCTGTTAGAGATACACAAAAAATTAAAGGGATTTTAAAAGTATAGTTATAGTCAGTCTGTGTGATTATGCCACTCAGATGATATGGTTAGACTTATCTGTCTCAATTTGATTTTGTTTTTTGGAAACTTTTATTTAAAAATAGTGTCCTACATTTGTCTTTTCGTATTTCTTTTTACATTTTTGCCAGTTTATCTTGGAATAAATTCCTGGAAGTGGAATTGCTGCTTCAAGGGCAAATGCATATGTGATTTTACTAGATACTGCCAAATTCCCCTCTGCAGGGGTTGTACCATTTTAAGTTTTAAGGGCAAAAAACGCTGCTTCTTCTTTTACATTTGTAAAGCATGTTAGGCTTTGTTAAATATTTTCTTATAATAAATCTCATTTTATCCTGGAAACAGCCCTAGGAGTCAGCTATTATTCTCAACCTGACTTTATAATGGGGAAATGGAGGGTCAAAAGACTGAAGTGTGTGGCTCACCATAGGAGATGAGTTGATTGTAGCCTGGCTTCTAGTCTTCTAGGAGATGAGTTGATTGTAGCCAGGCTTCTAGAAGCCTGGCTTCTAGTCCACAAAGGACAGCTGGGCAAGAAGCAGTGTCCTGCCTCAGTGCCACACGAGCAGGTGCCTGCCTCCGAGTTTTCTTTGAGATTTCTGTGGAAATTTCTTGACTGGATTCCAGTGCAGTTTAGGCGTGTGAGACCTTAACATACCCTGGGGCAGTACCACCACCAGTGGGGACAGGAGTCCCTGCCCTTCGGAAACATGCTTCTGGGCTGAGGCTACATTATTCTTCGTGGTGTCTCTGGTGAGATGGAGCCAGTAGGTATATCAGCAACCTGCTGAAATCTCACCTTTTAGTGGCTTTTCTTTCTTCCCTTTTCACTGTTCTGTTCCCTCCTCTCTTTCCTGGGAGTACTCTCCAAATAAACTGAAATGGACCAAAATCCCTGATGCAGACTTTGCATTTGGGGAGACCCATACTAGACACACAGCAACTTCTTTCTGACTGTGAGCATGCTGAGCTGTGCTCAGCCAGCTGCTAAAACTGTAGTTCCAGCCTTGCTGGCATGCAGCACCCCCACTCCTATGTGGCCTCCCCATTGCCAATCCCTGGGTCTCTCTCCACAACCATCGTCACACTGCACCCTTGGAACAGATGTGCTGGGAAGTTTGGTTCTAGCAATGCCCCTTCTACAATGTTTGCTCTGGTTATTCTCCAACCTACCCTATTTGTATGAATTTAAAGGCAACTTCTGAAATTGGGCCATAAGTTGTTCTTCACTGGTGGAGAGAGAGCAGGGATAGGGTTGTGGCTTTGGTTTGGCCTCAGCCTCCTTATGTTAAGAAGGTATTTGTTGGGCCTCCCTGATGGTGCAAGGGGTTGAGTGCAGCTCTGTGAGGCTGTCTGCAGCCTTTGCACCATGAGTTCGATCCAGGCTGGCTGGGGAGCAACCCACATGGTGCAGCGGACCTCTCCTGTCTTGCCTGCTGCTCCCCTCAGCAATGTATTTCGGTACATCTGCCTGTTCTGCTCCCCGCTCTGTCTCTGGTGAATCTTCTCGCCCACCACAACTCTGGCCTGAACCCCACTTCTTAGGAAAAAAAAAGATGTTTGTTGATGATTTTGTGGGCCTTCTTTATTGTCTGTAGTACTTGCTGGCAATGCCAATGCTGTTGCATAGAGGGCCTTGATTATAGATAGTCTCTGCAAAGGCTGTGTGACCCGTGATAGATGTAGTTGAAATTATCAGCTTGGAACTATCTGCTCAATTCATGGAGGGATGACTTCCTAGGGGGGCAGTATACTTTCATCTTGCGTGGCCTGACAGGGCCTTGTAAGTTCCTTTGGGGGTCACATATTCAGGACCCTTCATATTCAAAAGACAGGTCCTCACCTGGACTTCACGGAACTTTTTTTTAATCTTCCCACTCTGTGTAAATCATTAATGCAAAGACCAAAGCACCCTTTGGAGGGCTCCAAACTTAGTCCCTTCCATCCTGTGGTTAGAAAAGGAGATCAATGGTTTAGACGAGGTGTAAGATTTGCACTCCACGACAACTCTTGGAATTTCCTTGTTTTGTTTTAAGCCTCCCACAGAGGCTGAGTCTGAGAGCATGCCCCCACAGGATAGCTACTTAATTAGTGCTTTCATTTATTTAACTAATGACACCAGGCAAGAAGCCTTTGACAGTGACCATGATGCCCATGCAGACCTGTGTGAGCTGACCCAGGGCTTTTGGCCTAGAGGGAATGCACTAAAGTTAGTTGACATTTACAGTGGAGTGAGTTAGGATGGGGGGTTGGAGGGTACTATGGAAACATGAGAGGAACTTTAAAAAATTAGAGAAGGTGAAAAATTTCCTGGAAAAAGTGACAGCTCAGCTGATACCTGAAGGGTAAGAGGTAGATGCACCAAAAGGAAGGGTGAGAGAAAGAGGACGCTGGATAAAAACAGATGAAAATATCTGAAGACATATACTGTGTGATTTCATTTAAATGTGGAATAAAACAAGGAAACAAAACTCACAGAGACAGAAAACAAATTGGTGATTCCCAGAGGGGAGGAGAGCTGAGGGTAGGTGATGTGGGTGAAGGGAACCCAGAGCACAGACTTCCAGTTACAAAATAAATTAGTCAGGCGGAGGTACTGCACAGCGTGGGGATATAATTAATAATATGGTTTGTGTTTGACAGTCACTAAGAAAAGATGATAAATAGAGTTATAGTGGTGATTATTTTGCAATATATACAAATGAACAATCATTATGTTGTACACCTGAAACTAAAATAATGTTATCTATCAATTATCCCTCACTTAAAAAAGACAACAAAAAGAAATAAGCAATGTAAGGATTGGAAATAAAGAGATAAGGTATCATTCTGTGAAAAACATTGTGCTCTATTTTGAAATAATGACAGAATCACCCAGCTATTACAAATGGGAGAATATACCATATTTTATTCAATAAGTCCTTTATTAAAGGGCAAATGAAAGGATCTTTTGCTATAACGAATCATCCTACAATGAATTTTAAAAATCTGGAGGCAAAAGAGGGAATATGGGGCACTGAACACATTGAAAGGATTTCTGAGGG